TTTGAGTTCTATATGGACGGGGAACATAATCCCCAAATTTCAGCTTTCTAGCTTTTCTGCTCCCCAAGTTAGCGATTTTCCCGCCAAAACTTTTAGGCGCTCGTTCGCAGGGCCTAGACTTGCTTGAGGATTGGTACCGCGGCCCTGGGGTGGCACCTGGCCGGGGAACCGACTCGCAAAATTTTGGCGCCAGAGGTGACTTGGGTGCCGCGAAATACCCGAATACACGCACACACACACGCCGGGGTCGTCACAATATGTGTTTTTGCACATATGCAAAAATGAATAAAGAGGTCTGTCCCTACTCTGTTAAAAAAGCAGGCAGAGAAAATGGTCGCCTCTATTTCAGAACTGAAGCTCCCAATATGTGACTCGTTTCGGCATCGCATACAGCTTGCTCGCCGACCACTATTGACTGTTCAGTAATGAGCAATAACTCACCATTCCATGCAGTTGCGCGAAAACCCACTGCTGCTGCTGTTGTGGTTGTTGCATACCAAACGGACTTGTGATGGTTCGCTGGAAAGGCGCAATAGCGTGTGCAGGCCCAGCACCTCGCGCCACAGCTGGCTGCGGAAACGGCATAATATTAGGAGGGGCTGGCACAACACGTGGTTGACGTCCGCCGGCCGCTGCTGCAGCAGCAGCAGCTGCTGCCGCTGCCGCCGCCGCTGCAGCCGGAGCAGGCCACATATCGTTAGTAGCAAAAGTACCGCCAACTGGATTGGCAATGTTAGCTGCACCAACACCATTCCATCCCAGGTAGCCTGCGCTGGGAGTCTGAAAAGCGAATGGATGAAGAAGCGAATGAGTGGAGAGGAGAGTGCGCTACTGGCTTAAACTGAGCTGAAAAGTCACCCTGGCGATTGTCGTCTGCAGATCATTCAAGTAATTGGTTGCCGTGGTTCCGGCATTGCCCGCTGAACAACCAGCAACACCGTGCTGCTGCTGCTGCTGCTGCTGCTGCGAATTCCCACCACAGTACAGCTGGTACGGTTGTGCGGCTGAGCTGGCTGTCAGCAGTGGATTTGGTTTGCAGTTACCTGGAGTTGCATTAGGATCCTCGGCCACCTGCAAACGAGAAAATAAGAAGCGACGCACGAACGTGCAAAATTCATACGCAAATAAGCATTCCGGCAGCAGACCACCAAACTGATGCACAGCATTATGTGCTGGTATCACCGCCATCCTTCACTGATTTACAAACAGAAACACATACCGGACACCATTCGGAACCCTAAACCGTAAGCATCAAGAAATAGTGTTTCCAAAATTTCAAAATAAATGAAACAAAAAATTTCCCCAAAGAAAAAAACTGCATTCTGAAATACACCACTCAAATTCCATTAAATTCCCTCCCATCATCTGCAGAATTTTGAACAGCATGTTACTGGCAACTGCCGCGGTCGAGTAAAGCAATCGTTATTGCGCCTAGTTATCGCACACCCGTTGTCAGAATTGGCCAGTGTCGAACAATAAAGATCACCATAATTTATGCATCTGATGTAAAAGTGAGAGACATTGAACGCTTTTACAAAAGAATTCAGGCGACTATTCTGTAGAAGTCAGTGCGTTTCTTAATGCTGGATCAGGAAAGGATGGAAAACATGAATTTATTGGCTGTTTTGATTTTAATACAAGAAAGAAAACAGGAAGCTCGCCAGCTAACCAGCCAGGCTCTACATTACTTTCTCCAAAATGCATCTGGGAGATACACTCAGCAGAGACGCGCACCAGGGTAACCAATGCGATCAGCTAATCCAGCGCTTATTTGATGAATGACAATTCTGCTTCGGGCTTCTTTTTTTTATTATCATAGCAGAGCAGAATTTTTGAGTTGCAAGCTGCAGAATTCTGATTTTGTGGTGTAGCCCAAAACAGAAACAGGGCCAAGGATGATGACAAAAAAAAAAG